GTTTTTATATAGGATAAAGCATGATTTGACTGAAACTAAGGCTTGAATCTGGTGCTATTTAACATGGACTACAAGAAACCATCAATAACTCAGTTTTTATTTTTTTTGGAGAAAACACGGTTTGAATGTTTGCTCCTCATATATATATATATATATATATATATATATATATATATATATATATATATATATATATATATATATATATATATATAGAGAGAGAGAGAGAGAGAGAGAGAGAGAGAGAGAGAGAGAGAGAGAGAGGGAGAGAGAGACAGAGATCGTCCATAAATTACGTCACGCATTTTTTGACAGATTTTGACCTCCCTCCCCTCCGCCTCGTCACAAAATCGTAACACTTAAGAAGCAAGTTTGTTTATGAGTCGTCACAAAACTACCAACCCCCCTCCTTCTTATAGCTTGACGTAATTTATGGACGACCTCATAAGTATATATATATACATATATTGTTGGAATATATATATATATATATATATATATATATATATATATATATATATATATATATATATATATATATATATATATATATATATATATATATATATATATACATTGTTGGAATATAATAATTCCAACAATTAGAACTAGATAATTTTACGTAATTAATCTTGTATTTAAAAAAATTCTAAATTACATAATATACATATATATATATATATATATATATATATATATATATATATATATATATATATATATATATATATATATATATATATATATATATATATATATATATGTATATTATGTAATTTAGAATTTTTTTAAATACAAGATTAATTACGTAAAATTATCTAGTTCTAATTGTTGGAATCATTATATTCCAACAATTAGAACTAATTTTTGGAACATAATGATTTGTTATTAACAAAACTTAACATCAAAAGATCAAATTTTAAGCGACTTTTTGTTGAAACAATGCTACAATGTTTTCTGCGAAAAAAAAATTAATTCGTTATTTTTTCAATTTTATTAACTCTAACATTTGAACAATAAAAATTCACATTTTTTGAATTTAAATGACAGAAAAATATTTAGAATTAATAAAATATTACAACTTTTTACTATGTTTTGTTTTTACATAAAAAAGCAATTAAAACTACTGCTATTTTAGGACTTTAAACTAGGTAATTGCAATCAAAAACACTGGGTAATTTGAGCATACTCACTACACAAAAATGGCATCTTTGAATAAAGTCAAAACTATCTGTTTCTATAGCCGCTAGTTACTGCATATAAGTTTAAGCTAATTGTAATGATTTCTTTTATCACCACATAAAGTCGATTCAAAAAATACAAAGCAACTTTAACTTCACTGCTTACACAGTGCCGGTTTAACCACTGGACACACTGGACACGTGTCGGGAGGCCACGGAGTTCAAGGGGCCAGAGCATTTAAGTGAATATTCGAGAAAGATATAATTTGAAAGAAAAATTATTATCGACCTCTATCTTTGACTTCCTCTCATGTCCAAGGGATTTTTAATCTTTGCATAACAGCACATAGGATGTATTACAAACTGGACGTTTTATTTTTTTAACGACTGGAAAGAACTTTTGAGTTCGAACATAATGGTGAAAAAATAAGATTTAAAAAAATTGGATACTTTACTGATTGCTTTTTCTTATAGGATTATCATTCCGAGGATAAGACGAAAAACTAGGATCGATACGCAACGGAAACCTTATTGGATCTATTGAGCTATGAGTAAAATTTGATCCTTTCCTCGCCCAACATTTGATAACTTATGGAAACAAAGGAAAAGATTGTATCTTATCTAAAAAGATTTGCAAAGAGCTCATTCATTTTGCAACTTCCAAAACATTTTGAAAACGTTTTGAAAAAGTTTAATTAGTATAAAAAAGTTAGATTGAAAAAGATTAGTAGCTTGAAAACGTTTTGAAAATGTTAGATTAGTATGCAATCAACATTCAAAATAGCTGTGGCCAGTCATACGACAATGCCAGTAATATGTTTGGTATCTAGTTTGGTTTACAAGTAAAAATTAAAGAGTTCTTGTCGAATAGATTCCGTGTGCTGCTCACTGTTGGAACCTTGTAGGAGTGAGTGCCGCGGAATCCAACGGAGTTGCTGTTAATTTCTTTAGCTTTATTCAAAAAATGTATAACTTCTTTTCTGTATCAACCCATTGAATTCTTAAAATCAAAGTTCTTTGCATTAACGCATCAATGCATCTTAAAGTCAAAGTTCCTTGCTGGAATACGTATTAAGTTTTCCTAGACTCTCTAACAAACTTGTTAGCTCATGCTGATGCTTATTAAGTAATTTAAAAGAGTTATTCTATTTACAAGGTGATTAAGAATTATTTAGAAAATCGAATAAAAACATTTTTATTTTGTAGCTGTGCACACTTAACAAGTATTTTCTATATAGGCGACTCTTCTTGATTTTAACAATAATCAAAAATCAAAATCAAGAGCAAAGGCCTTTAGACTATTGACCAAAATGGAACAACTTGAGACAGTATTTTAACAATCCTTTGGAACAGAATTATGGATTGGTTAATTTATTCTTATCCTACTGATCTTAACTTTCACTTATTGAACAAATGTTTTCTTTTTGGAGCTTTTTTCAGTAACGTCTTTTAGACTTTTCTTTTCTTCAAATAGGAAACCGGGTATTGGATTCCATTGACCTAAAATCAGCATTTGCAAGTATAAAATACAGGCGAAAGGTATTTTAAAATCTATACTAATTGAAGCGTGTTTTTAATAATAAATAATGTGAGAAGCTTGTTTCAATACAAAAGAAAACACACTATAAAGCCATAGCGCAACAATTACAAAGATTTTTTTATTTTAAACCGCTGTTAAATTTGAATGCTAGGAGGCCAACAGGGACCAGAAAGCCTAAAGTGCCGGGATTGAAGAAATCTCTTCAATCCCTGTGGGATTGAAGAAATTGAAAACGAAAGTTGGAAAGACAGTGAAAATAAAGTAAGAGAGTTTTTAAATGATAAACTTCTGCTAAACGAAAACTTTGAAATTAAAAGAGCACATCGAGTTGGAAAAAAATTACCTAAAAACAATAAAAAAAACAGATTGATCGTAATCCGATTTCTTAACTACAAAGACAAAGCCACGATATTAAGAAAATACACGGCGATGAAATTATAGACTCAAAAGATTTACATTAATGAAGATTATAGTGATCATACGCTGGAATTGCAAAAAAAAACCCTGAATGAGGCAAAAGATTTAAGGGCAAAGGGTAAATACGCTAAAGTTATATATAATAAATTAATCACATGAGATTTAAAAAAGAAATTCTTTAATCTCAATTCGATTATGTAAAAGCAAAAAAAAATGGATTCTAACAAAACCATAAATTTTGCGTCAATTTTTTTAAACTTTTTTCAGACTAACGATTTCTTATTAGACGATGAATCTGATCCTGATCTTAATTATTTTACTGATTCTGGTGCTTTGCAAAATAAATGCGACTACTTTTATACCCATGAAATTAAAGGATTTCTTGATCAAAATAATATTAATACAATTCACATCAATATCCAAAGTTTAAAATTTTTTTTTAAATCTTTTGTAATTTTATTGAAGAAACTAGTAATATATTTAATATAATTTGCTTAACAGAAACTTGGTGCAGTTGGGATGACGTAAATTCTTTTACCGATTTTGAACTGACGGGCTTTAATGTAATTTCATTAGCACGAAAAACAAATAAGCGTGGCGGAGGCGTTCTTATTTATGTTAAAAATAACTTACGATATTTTACCCGGCATGACATGAAAGATAAAGAGGTTTTAACGATTAAAATTTTAACCAATAAAATAAAAAATAAAATTCAAAGTTGTTGTTATCGCCTACCATCAAGTGAAATTAAAAATTTTAATTCGTTTTTATGTAATGACATGATTAAAAAAAGTAACCACGAAAATAAATTTATCTACCTATTGAGTGATCTGAATTAAGATTGTTTTCAATACCACGTCAATAATAATATTAAAAGATTTTATAATAGCATTTTTAAAAATGGTGCGATTCCTTTGATTAGCAAACCGATAAGAATTACTCAATCAAGTGCTTCTTTAATTAATAATATTTTATGCCCCTTAAAAAGGGGCATAATTAAAAATGACATTTCTGATCATTTACCTATTTTCTTTTCTATAAATACAGATAATAAACTACTTTCTAATGAAAAGCGAGTTTTCAAAAAGCGCATATTTACAAATGACAACCTTGAATCTTTTAGAGAACAATTATCTCTAATTGATTGGAGTATTTTTAACACATCTGATGATGCAAACTTAGTTAATAACTCCTTTTTTAAAACTTTCATCGATATTTACTACATTAATTACCCTGAAGTTAATTTAAATCTTAAAGCTAAAAGTATTAAATTGCCTTAGATTACAATGGGTTTTTTCTTCAAAAATTAAACAAAAATTATACATTAATTACTTAAAACGTAAAACAAATAAAAACAAAACTATTTATAAAAATTATGCTAAACTTTTTGAAAGCCTTAAGAAAAAAAATATATATTATTTAAATTTACTAGACAAAGATAAATTAAATTTTAAACGCATTTGGATTATAGTAAGAGAAATTACTGGCTGCAAAAAATGTACATGTAACTCTTTGTCAAGCACGGTTAAACATAATAAATTTTTATATGATAAAAGACAAACTACGGAAGAATTTAATTAATATTTTGTGTCTGTAGGACCAAATCTTGCAAAAAGAATTCCAATAGCTAACAGTTTAATGAATAATCTATTTTTCCCTCTAAACTCTTACTTGAACTCTTTTGAATTATCTTTTGAAGAGTTTGAAATTGTCTTAAAAATGTTAAAATCTAACAAAGCAGTTGGCCCTGATGGTATTAACGGCAACATTATTATAAATTCATTTGATGTTTTAAAAGATATACTCTTTTTTTTCTTTATTTTTTCAATATCAATTAAACAGGGAATTTTTAAACAAGCTCT